TAAAAAAATATATAGTAAAAAATATATATATATATATTATATGTATATATATATATACACACATATATACATATGTATAAAATTTTTTAATAGATTCGCATGCGATCTTGTTCCTACACAAAGTTACAACAGTAAAACTAGTTTGTGCATTTATATGTTTATGGGCGTCATATGAACAATTGAAAACAAATTTTATTCTTGCAAGACTACGTAAAAATTCTCATGGTGACATCGTATCTCTTGAACATAAAATACCATTTGATGGTCTATTTAAGTATATAGCAGGTCCATTGCAATTGTGCGAAGCAATTGTATATTTAATGCTCTCCATGATTCTTTGTCAAGCTTCTACATTTCATTACATTACTCTTTGGGTTATATCAAATCAGGTAAGAAATAGAAATCAGTAAGAAATATATGTTTTTTGATAAAAAGAGATCAAGTATATATATCTATAAATGATTTTTTTTTAGGTGGTATGTGCATATTTATCTGATCAATGGTACCGTAAAACATTCACAAATTATCCAAAAGAAAGAAAGATTATAATTCCTTACATATGGTAAAACTTTTATTACGAAACATATTATTAATTGAAAACGATATATTCAATAATTTACATATTTAGTTATAATATGCAAAACAATAATAGGTATACTAAAAATGAATAAATAAAAATTCTAATGAATAAATTGGTTCAATGAATTTTCTTATATTAATTTAAATACATATTTCTATTGCTACTTTTGTTTTATTGTACAATAGTATTAAATGCGGATTTTTTATGTTACATACAATATATATAATGAATGTGATACAACATTTATAACAATATAACTCTTTACTTTTCATTTGTAAAAAAATCTTCCTAGTTTCGTATTTCATATGGAACTGCCAAATATTTTTCGCTCAATAAATGATGTATGAAGATATTTCCTTTCTATTTAGTTATTTGAATAATAAACTGAAACAAGCAAATTATTCTTCCCTGGGATACAAATGTAATGACAATTCTTATAAATATTCAAGTGAAGCATGATGATATTATTAAAATCTTTTTACTTTTACAAATAATATCATCATGCTTTAAAATGTTAAATTTGTTTATAATATATTAAAGATAAAACACATACATACCTATATGGATAGCCTTGAGCTTTGTTTCTAAATATTGACAGAAGAAGACTAAAGAAAATTGCCACTAATCCTGCACCTATCACAGCTAATATCTTACGCTTCTTAACATCTCCTTTACGAGCTGCAGCCTCAGTCATTAAGATCATTCCTAACACCACTGCTCCATCTTTTTATACATAATTAAGGTCTATATCATAATATAAAATGTACACAAATCTAGTTTTTCTATACTTTTATGTAAATTATTTTTTATAATTTCTGAATATAGCAAAAGGATACTCATAACCATAACAATATAGGTTTCCACTATAAATTGTCCTTGAGAAGATCCATGAATATAAGCTACATTGCCATTTGGTGATTTATGAACAAAAGGTGGTCCTCTGATATGATTCCACATTTGTCCAGAGGTCATATTTATGGCAAAGAACTGAAAACAAGTAAATCAGGATTATTTGTTAAAACGAAAAAAGTAAGGTCGAGGAAAAATATATTTACCAAAGCACAAAATCCCCAAAGATTTTTGTTGTAAATGAAGTCCAAGTTATTACGTCTGAGATATAGACCAACTGCTACGATAACTATAAGCAGTCCTAATCCTACTGTACCCGAGTAATTTGGTGGTCTAAATACTCTAATCTGCAATCGACATTAAACAATTTAAATAAATTAAATAAATCAACATTAAACAATTTAAAAGTCAGATCAAGGAAACATGTGACAGAGATCAGAATAGTTTTAATATAATGTGACACAACACAATGACTGCTAACAATATTACCTGGATATCTGTACGTTCACCTATCCACTTTGCTATTGCTTCTGCACCAAATCCTACTCGCTGGATATCCATGGTATCAGCAGCTTTTGGTTTACCTTTAGGTGGGAAATGCATATATACTGGTGCAGTATTCAACTTCATCTGTGATAAGAAAATTTCATATTAATTATATATTTATATATCCTTGCATGTTCTACTTACCAATCGAAAAACATCTGATCCTTCATCAAAATCGATAGAGGCAAAGAACAACTTATTGGAGTACAAGGCAGAATATCGGAAGGAATTCGCCACTATTGTAAATTCATCATTGGCATGCCTAACATTATGTTGAAATTATTGATATACATAGATTTTTATTAGTAGTGACTTATACAAGTATAAATACAAGTTAGTTCACCTGCAAATCTGACACTGTCTCTGAGGCGCCATGGCGGTAAACATAACAATAATAGAATAATTCCTTGGAGGAGCTTTAATATACTGTTTAAATTTTGACCCATTAAATTTCAATATCGGTTTTTTCAAAGTCATCTCGGTTAGTTGTTGCACGCGTTCGGCCAAGGAGGTGCCTTGATTCTGTAAGAATAACATTTCAGTCACATTTTGTAAACATATTGAGATTTGGTTAGTTAAAGTCGAATGATAAATGCGTGATATAAGAAGAGTTCTTACGTTTTTCGTTCTGTATTGACAAGTGACATAGCTTAAAATGGAAAGAAAAATGAGTACAATATAGAGCTTGTATTTCATCGTAAACCAGAGGTTTGATACGTTGCGCGGAAACTCAACGAGGTTAACAACTCCACCGGCGATGCATTAGCCAGCAGTAGCGGCCACTGGTTATCACGTAGACCACGATAGCTGGGATCAGTTGATCCACCGGGTACACGTGGCACTCGTCGTGCACGTATTCCACTACATTCCACGAATACGATTCGAAGTTGGGACTTGAGAGTCTGGGACTTAGGTTAGGAGTGCAGGAAGTTGGGACTCGGCTAGATTCGGCCAGACTCGACGAGATGTGGACGAATCGCGACGCGAGCTGTCCACCTTTTCTTCTGCTGCGTTTACAATATATGCTTATGGGCTCATCAACTTTGATCAACCTAATCGATCGATTAGCGTTTTTCATTGACAAAACTGGTGCGCACTCAGTGCACCATTAAAGCTGTTGTATATTAATCTAATCTGATTGTAAAAGTGAGAGATCTCCATTAATAAAATACCCAATGTATATTTTATCAAATACCATAATAAAATGTAATAAGGATGTCGTAGTTTAATTCGTTTTTATATTTTTATTAAACGAACATCTTTATGGCAATTTGTGTACAAATTAAAGTGCATTGAATGCGCAGGTCTGCCAGTGAAAAATGCTATAAGTGTCAATCGTGATTGATCTGCGGAACAGTAAATACAATTGGTCAGTTCTAATGTAACAATCAATCGATTAAGTTAATCAGAGTTAGGATGCAGTCGAGTTGCTGCTATGAATGCTTCGAAACATTTTTTGATTGGTCAATTAGTAAAATTCTTTCTTCTGATTGGAATCGGAATCAAATGTTTCGAAGCATTCGTAATGGCAACTCGATCACACCCTTATATGTTTACAAATTAATACTTTCCATTTAAAATAAAAACACAATTGACACAAATATCATTCTATTTTTTTTTACGTTGCTATGAGAAACAAAGGAAGTTTTTCAGCAGAGACATAAATCAACACAAGAGTCATTCCATCTTTGTTTCTCACTGATTATTGAACAAGAATAGTATGACTCTTGTGTCAATTTGTGTCTCTTACTGGAAAACTCCCAAAGATAGAATGACATTTGTCTCTATTACTATCAATTATCACTGCTGAGTGTTCAGTAGCTGGAATTCTTGCAACTGTTTGATCAAGATTTTTTAATCTAACGAAATATGCCAATTATGAAGCAGATACAAGAGCTCACTAAATGTCCAGTACTGAATAAGGTTTTTGACTGTTTTCGAAGATTCGAAGCTTCGAATTTTTTCAAAACCTTGAATTTTTAAAATTTAAGATGTTTTCGAAAATACATTTGTACGAATGACAAATTTATTCAGGAAATGCTAAAAATATTATAAATAAAATGAATTAATTAATATATGTATATGCTAAAAAATGTGACACTTTTTAAAAATTTAGAAATGTTATAAAACCTGAAGTATTATATATAATAAATAATCAGACTTAATATAAATAGAACTTATTGTAGAACAAGTCGAAATGGTTTCCAATCGGAATCATTCAGTTTTTCTAAAAAAAAAAAAAAAATAAATAATAGAAATCATAGGAATAACTAAATAATTCCATATATGTATAATATGAGGAAGGATATTTCATTTCTCTAAAACAATCCCATAAAGATAATTCAAAAAGCAAAAATAAATTCTCAAATGAATGAATAAAAGAATTTATAATAAATTAATATATGATCGAATGTTTTGGCTTTACTAATTATAAATTTTGCTTAGCATAAGACAATAAATAATTTTAGGAATAGAAAATTGAAACAGAATCATAAAAACTCATGAAAGTGATAAAATATATATCCATTACTATTATTATTGTATTAAACTAATAATTATATGTATAATTGTATAACTTCGAAGCGAATGATAAATCACCAGCTCTAGTACTGAACATACTCATCGGTTGCACATTCTCGTAAACTCATGCGCTCATTGGGCGCTTTCGCAGCGAATCGTCGCCGAGCTGGAGAATAACCGCCGTTTCAAATTAAAATAACCGATTCAGCGAGTCGAATCAGATAGGGACGTGGACCAGCAACGTGTAGTATCGCGCAGTGTTTGGCGCGATTGAGCACGATTGAGTGCGGTCCGTACTGGTTCGCATTGTTTTGCTCTCGCGTAAGCGAGAGGTACAAGCGAACGAAATAACGATAACAGAACAGAAGAACAGTGCAACGGTTGGTTTACGCGTAATTTTTATCCACGACTGTCTAGCAACGATCCCGCGCGAATCCGTTGACTCGGTACGGCAAGAAAATCGCGCGCGCTCGCGCGAGTAACGACGAGGATGTCCTTCTCCAAGGCAAGGATACAACGGTTCAACGAATTTGGCAGTAAGTTGTTATAGCGATTAATAAGTACATGCTGCATCTACAAGCTGATCTATTCAGCCTCTTGTTGATTAGTACCTGCATCCTTAATTAATAGTAGCAGCTTCCTACTTTTCGTTCGTCTCTATGCTTAAGTTTGGTTTTTGTTCTTTTATTAGATTGCACTAGAATTCTTGTTTTTGCCAATCAAACATATGTTTATCTCACTTTAAGTTCCAAAAGTGTACGTTAGTTCACGCACAAAAGACTGATTATTTGTTGTTAAGTTTTTTTGTTGATGACTGCTGAAAAACAAATGTATTCGTACTTTGATCTGGATCGGTGTTGTGTGGTAATTTTTAATTTTTTCAAAGTTTCTGATGAAATTCGCCGAGGCTTATCTTGTGCATTGACTCCGTGACTTATCTCTCTTTATCATTTTATTTTGATGATTGTAACTTCTCCGATATAAAGAAGACGAATGCTATTAAGATTGGAGCTGCGTTTGGCGCTGCTATTTTATGTCTAATGAACGATAAAGAAAGAAATTATAAGCTTACAGTGCGTGTTTACTACAGTCTAAAGCTCGGTAGCATATCAACGTTAGTTGACGGTAGTTTGATTTTAAACGAAGCTTAAAATTCTCTATCTCTTCCTCTCTTTCAAAGAGAGAAACTAAGA